AAAAACTTGAAATGACTGAGGAGTTAATTTATAATGAAAGTCCCAGTAGAAGATTAGAACACCAATAAAATACCTGTAACACACACTTTTCCTCCCAAATATCCTGCAGTCAAATTTGACTTTGCTAAATAAAATATAACAGAACCTGAAGGCAGTCTAAAAATCTAATCATTGTTCACTTTAACTATACTGATGGATGTCTCATCAGCTAATAAGATAACGGTGCTGTGTTAGTCAGATCTATTATAGCTGTGACTGAATTCCTGTGACAACAATTTAGGGCAGGGAAGATTCATTTTGCTTTAAGTTTCAGAGATTTCACCATAGCCCTCTATTCCCGTGATTCCAGGCCAGTGGTGAGTCAGACCATGAAAGCCACCGAAGTATGTGGTGGAGGATGTCATTAACCTCCTGGCTGACAGGAAGTAGAGAAAGAGGAAGGGATCTAAGACCAGGTACACACCTAGGGACCCAGCTAGGCCACATATCCCAGACTTTGCATTACCTGCCAAGACAGCACCACCAGCAGTAGATCAAGCATCCAACATATGTACCTAGAAGGGACAATGCCTGTGTAAACCATAACATTGAGTGTTTAAGCCCTTTTATCGAGTTTTTGAGTACTCTTTTAATCCCTTTGCTATACATATCCATCAAGTGTGACTAGAGCTGACAAAAATGCTATGAATATTCTCTTGATTTCCAAGAGAACTCTTCAGAGTTGTGATAGAGTTGTGGTGAAAATGAGATAGATGCTCTGAAAATTTTGTGTTACTATGTTCTGTCTATTTCTTTGTGAATATTCGATATCCAGAAAATGGTGTAGCCAATGGTATCGGGGCATCTCTTTGATAAATAGATATACAGGTGAGTGAAAAGATGTAAATACTTAACATTTTAGGGCAATCCCGTGTAGCATGGGGCTTTCTGTTCATTTGCATGCTAACAGATGCTGATTGGCCTCTTCATTCTTCTGAAGTCTGAAGTTTAGAATCCAGCTATTGCTAGGGCCATGCTACCTCTGATCAGCCTGTAGGGGATCCTTCCTGCATCACCTTCTAGAAGCTTTTATCAGTCCTTGGCTTTCCTTGACATAGAGTTCTAGCACTTTAGTGGTGGGTTTAGTTCATTTGTCTGTCTTTACATGGTGTTTAGATGCCAGTTTGACTCTCTCTCATCTTCCCACGAGGACATGCAACATCCTGAACTATAGTACCTCATTTTATCTTGGCCACCTTCAAAACATCTTCATAGGTACTAGGAATTAAAATTGGAGGCACAAACTAAAATTATCTTGACATGTCTTAAAAGGGTGGGAGACTCAATTAGATAAACACACAGGAGACAGGAATTTCCTGGGGGCTGAATAGAAAATATCCTTTCCAGGCCATCCACAGAAATAGCCAGTTGGACCTCTGCTGCTGCAGTGGTATTTACCTTTTCTTAACTATTGATCATAGGATCAGAAGGGAGGCTCTGATTGGCTGAATTTAGGGACTTGGTTCATATCAGAGTCACTTGAAGGACTCCTTCTTTTAATTCATGATATGGTAGTGAGTTAATTTGTAATATATGACTTTTGCCAAAACTATAGCTTGGTGGTTCTCAACCTGTGGCTCATGACCTCTTTCAGGGTTAAACAACATTTTCACAGGGGTGGCTTATCAGATATTTACATTGCAACTTGTAACAGAAAAATTGCAATCATGAAGTAGCAATTAAATCATTTTTGATTAGAGGCCACCATAATATTGGGAACTGTATTAAAGGGCTGCAACATTAGGAAGGCTGAGAACCACTTGTATAGCTAGTGGAGAAAATGCTCAAAAATGATGATGGCAGTGACAGAAGGTAAAGATCAAGAGAAACCCAGACACAGGAAAATATGACCACGGACTGTTCCAAGATTACATCCATGTCGCCAAATATCGATAGATAATTTCTGGGTATAAATCTCCAAATTCTTATGCAGATAGATTGGATTTTCCTTCCTGATAAGTTAACTATTGTCTGCTGAAAATGGAAGGAGAGCAATCTACAAATGACAACTGTTAATTATTTTAAAGTTGGGTGGTCCTTTCACTTTCATAGATTTTTAACTTCCTTGAGATATTAATCGAGACTCCGAAAACCAAATGGAAAAGAAAATTTGATATTAAAATATAAAACATAGGCTTTATAATAGATGACCCTAAGCATACATGAATGGTAGATATTAGAATTGTTTAATTTTAATAGTATTGAATACTTTGTTTTTGCTCAGAAATTTAGATAGTTCAGAGAATAAAACATAAGAGAAGCTGAAATATACCCAGTGATGTAAGAAAAGACAATGTCAGCTCAAAGTTGCAGCCTACCTACAAAATAATTTGTATGCAACTTGGAGTCTCTGCCAGGAGACAGTGTCAGTAATATGCACATCTCTAAAAGTTCTTCTTAAGAGTCTTTTGTTCCAGATTACTCTTCTTTTCCATTTTGCTGTTCTTTTCTAGTAGATAAATGATGCAAAAAAAGAAAAGTTTGAGAATTTAAAATTTATGTAGTTTGCTATTTTGGGGGCTACCATGATTGCCAACAGACTTATTAGATGTTCATACTGTAATGTTGTGTTATATCTCACACATATTGTGAACACTGTCTACATATGTTGCCTAATGAGGTTGGGTTGAATACTGCATTTTCTCACTCTCCAATATTTCCTAATTTTAATTTTGTTATAGTAGGTTTTAGCATTTGGAATAGTTGTATACTGCTTTCTTTCACTTAATTAAATAACAGCAAAGTACTTAGAAAAGCCTACCACTAAATCATCTGTTGATGAAGGGTGAACAATTTAATTAATATCTAAAACCCTTTTGTTAAATATTTGCATAGATTCCACTCCACTATTTTAGTTAATGCAGTACTAAGATTATATTGAATATTTTAATTTTGAAAAACTTCATGATTATAATAAGATTATTTTTGTTCACTCTTTTTATTAAACCATTTTATTTCCTCATGCATTCACCATTTTAAGTATAGAGGCAAAAATAGTTAAAAAGAGAAGGATGAAACTTTATTCTTGTGATGGAGATAGACAATAAAAATAATCCATAATAGACAGTGAGGCAGTGATAGATGCTCTGCAGCAAAATAAGAAGGGAAAGGGCGCCAGGTGTTGGTGGTGCACGCCTTTAATCCCAACACTCGGGAGGCAGAGGCAGGCAGATCTCTGTGAGTTCAAGGCCAGCCTGGTCTCCAGAGCGTGTGCCAGGATAGGCTCCAAAGCTACACAGAGAAACCCTGTCTCCTAAAATGAAAAAAAAAATAAAAGAAGGGAAAATGCATTTGGCATACACATGAGTAGAGGCCTGCCTGAGAAGATCAGTGTGGTGGTCACTCTTACTGCTGTGAAAGTATCTAAGAAAACCAAGTTGAAGGAGGAAGGAGTTATTGGCTGATACTTTCAGAGGCTTCAGTACCTGATCACTGTTTCTGTGTGTCTGGACCCACAATGAGGCAGAACAACATGGCAGAAGGGTGTGCAAAAGAAAAAGCAAGTTACTTGCCTCTCAGTGCTAAGAAGCAGAGAGTTACACAGAAGGAATGTTCCAGCAACACACTAAAACCAGGCCCCATATTCCATAGTCTATAACCTATGTTGAGAGTCTACTCAATAGATTAGGTCATAACTATCATGTTCTAATCATCTATAGAATCGCTGTCCCAGACATACCCACAGATACATTTTAACTAATCTCTGAAGCTGAAGTGCATATCAAAATAACTCCGAGATTCCATCTTATACCTGTCAGAATGGCTACAATTAAAAACACATGTGACAGCTCATGCTGGAGAAGATGTGGAGCAAGGGGAACACTCCTCCATTGCTGGTGAGAGTCCAAACTTGCACAGCCCAACTTTTAGTGTATCCTTCCACCTCCTTCATCTTATCTTAATTTTTATCTGTAAATTTTATGTAACATCTGGGAAGAGGAAGTCCATTACTCCCCTCTTTCCAACCTTCTCTCACCATCTCCCTACTGGGGTAAGCTTGCTGGGTCAAGGACAGCAGGCCCAGTAAAGGGACTTTATGGAGAATGCCAGTTATTTCTGCTTACTTTTGCTATATCTCTTTGTTGTGATGATGTAGTCATATTTCAAATGCCACAGATGATATGAGAAGATGCCACTTTGGTTATCTTTAGTTCATGACAGCTTAGTTCATAAGGGTAGCATTTAGACTCCTAACATTAGATTTTGTCATCAAAGACTCAAGTAAAATCTAGGCTTTCACTCTCACATATAATTGCATTAGAGAAATAATTAATGTGTTATAGTTATCAAAGTTGCCACTTTGTACGCCAATGAATTTCACATTTGAAATAATAATAAAGCCAGTAATTTAACTGTGGGCTTTGGTCATAGGTTGTTGTGGGAAATCTTATGTAAGGATGATACAACCATTTTAATTTAATGGATCTGGAAAATATATCAATATTTTTTATTGTTTTCCCTAAATCTTTGGCTGAGACAACCTACAAAGACAAAGACAACCTATAGAAATGTTTGTGCAACATCAGCCATTTCTGCAATATTGAATGTGAAACTGAATTGAATTTCCACATGTCATAGTCAGAAGTACCTTCTATTGGAGTTGATTAAACTTCTATTTGGAAATGTTATAGAAAACGTAATACAATCCTTAGATTTATATTCCTCTCACTGTTTGAAAACTAGAAGAATGATCATTTGTGTTTTGTTCTATCATTCCCAGTCACTGAAATTAGCTATATTTTTGTTCATTTGTTTGTTTGGTAGTTAAGATGACATACAGGAAAGTTTAGTGCTTAATCCTACAAATTTGTTTTAGAGAATCAAATAATTTTAAACATTGAATTGATTGGTATCATTTTGCATGAGATCAGAGTGTGATAAACTTGTACTTCAGTCCAAGCTGGTGAACTACTTCTGAGGAAAAGGTGGATGAAGTCTCCAGCTCTTAAAAAGAAACAATGTAAGCCATAAAAATATATTTTAATTTGAGAAAAGGTCATATAGTAAGAACTCAGGGACTGGGAGGCATGAGAAAATTGCCTTCTAGAAAAATACAGAATTTGAATACAACCAATGTGTGATGCATGTCTGAAATATCAAGGCTCATACCATCAACTGTTGACATTAATATGACTTCAGAAAACAATGTAGAGGGCTGAAGATATGGCTCAGTGGCATAGTGCTTGGTTAACACTGAAAAACAAACCATCAACTAGGGAAAATGTCAATAAAAATACATTTCAAGGGTACAAGCAAATAGGCACTAACTAAAAGAAGCTATCTGGAAACATGATGTAACAAGAACATTATGGCTTAAATGTGAGAAGGAGGACAGAGGACTGTCATTTACAAAGCAAATACAAAACACATTTTTATTTGAAGGTGACAAAGAGTAGGAAGAATAATCTATATAGTCTGGTCCCATAATTTTGCTAGCCTGCATTTAACTTTGATGATTTCTTCTCTTTAATTTTCAATATGGGAAAATTAGGTGCTTCCATGGCAAAATGCAAAATGAATGGATTTTCAGAGAATGATCTCCATCTGAAGCACTATGGTACCAATGAATTGTGGTGATAACACATTCTGGAATCCAAAGTCATGCTTTGTGTCCTTCTACATGTGAATTAGTCCTACAGATCAGAAACTCCACCAGCAGGCTTGTTTCATCCAGATATCAAAATGTTTGGCGATTCTTGAGTTTAATTACAGTAATCTGAAAATAAGAAGAGAGGAAATGGATTGTGAGATGGTGACTCATCAATGGACATTTATTACCTAGCTTAAAATCACCCCATCTATAGATCGTCCTAAGGAATATTTTACTTTAGCTCAAGAAACGTTCATTTATTCTTTCAAGAGAAGACAATGACATATTTAAAGACTCCAATTTCTTTATTGATTGATTGAAATCTATAACATGTGCAGTTTAGGGTAGGATTTTAAAGAAACAACTACTAATTTACCTTCTTTAGTGATCTTTCTTGCAGCAGAAACCAAATTCCTTTTCAACTTGGAGTCTAGGAGGAAGCTAGAAATTAATAATAAAAAATGACAGAGAGCCAAGGCTTTTCCATTTTAAGTATCAACAAGGAAACATTGTAAAGCATAGTTGCCTTTCATAATTCTGGGAAACACAGATCTGTAAGGCAGCTGGTAGACAATTCTCTATTTTAAAAGGGAACAGTCTCAGTAAAGCTCAACTACACCCAAATCGTAGGGTTTGATTTTTTTCGGATGCACAATCTTGCTGGGCCATCTAGGCTGATCTTTCACTTGCTCCCATCCTCCCTTGGCTTCTCCAGTGCTGGGATTACAGGCCAGTGCATCATGCCAGGCTGAAAGTTTGCTTCAATTTTAAGGGCAAACAGCTAAGTGATGGGAACTTACACTTATCCAAAATTTCTCGTCTTAAAAATGGATTTAAAAAAGTAAATATACTTTATATTTTAAGTATACTTAAAAGTACAAAAGGATAGCTTAGCTTAAAAAGTGTGTGTGTGTGTGTGAGAGAGACAAAGCTTTTTTTCTTTTCTTTTCTTTTTTTTTTTTTTTGAGATGGGGTTTCTCTAACTAGCCTTGACTATCCTTGAACTTGCCCTGTAGACCAGACTGACCTTGAACTCACAGAAATCCATCTGTCTCTGCCTCCCAAGTGCTGGGATTAACAGTGTGCACCAGGACTGACTGGTAACAAAGTATTTTTATAAACTCATGTGCTTCAGTGCAGTCTCCAATTGTGCACTCCCAAAGAGAAAAGAGCCATTAGTACACGCTCTACAGCAGGTCATGAAATCCAGAAATGCAAACACTTCAATTCATTTTTAAGGTGTGAATGACTTTTATGATAAAATATTACTTATCTGAAACAAGGGAGCTAAAAGGGGTACTACAACTCAGAAAATTAAAATGATTTCATTAGGAAGTTTACCAAGGACTTTTAGTCCTTTGTTTTAGCAAGAAATCCAAAGTCACATCACTCTTGATAACAGCTCACATTTCCCATGTCACATGAACAGATAGGTAAAGTATTGTGGTTTACATAAAGGCTTTGTGGCCAGGACACTAACTATAAGGTCTTGAAGTGTCTTGATTTTTTCATTATGCTCTTCTGGCTTATCCATCTTCTTATGCACTTACCAATTTCTTGTCTCTGATGTAAATGCTCTATATTTGCAAAATCAGTATTTTTGGGCTATATATTTCCTATACATTGGCCATAAGGACTACACTTCTTAAATAAAATTCTCATTCAATCTACAGTGTTAAAACTTATATACTTATAATTCCTTTAACATTTATTTTTCATGGACACACTGAATCCAACCATACTGGTTTTTTTCCACCCAAGATTCCCATCTATTTTTTTCTAAATAATAAATTTCCTTAAGTTACTACTCATTAGATTTTTTTTTGAGACAGATTTTTCTCTGTGTAGCCCTGGCTGTTCTGGAAATAGCTTTATAGTCTCTTGAGTTTGAGACCAGGCTGACCTCAAACTCACAGAGATCCTCCTATCTCTGCCTTCTATTGCTGGGATTAAAGATGTGTGTTACCAACCCCCAACATTACCCATGTTTTTTAAACACTAATGCTTATCTAACTTTTTTGATTCATATTGGTTCAATGAACAGGCAAGATGGAAAATTTGTATGTTCCTCAGCAGAGAAAGTCTTCCTCTGTATTAAAAAAATTAAAATGAATGCAACATACCTTATTGTTGAAGGGACTACTGTACAATGTATTTTCATTGTGGGTAGTATTACCTATAAATACAGACTTTTACTATTTCTTCAATTAATAGAATATATAATAATTCATTTATTCATTACTGAAAGTGATGCAATGCATGAGGTAGGAATAAATAGAAAAATTATGACATGGGTAACAAGGTCATGTTATAAGTGTACTCAGTGAACCGAACATCATATTCATATAGACCATGTTGAGGAGCATATTGAGGAGTTAGTTCTGTTTAGACATAATTTTTCAAACCCTAGTATTAACAAGCTCTATTTCATTAAACACTTTTACAGTTTCTTTCACCATTTTCCAGAACTGGTCAGTTGCAAAGCACAGTTTTCTAGGCTCCCCCCAGGCAGCTTATGCTGCTCCCCTAATGTTACCATGACACCCCATTTTCAGTCCAGCCACACAGTGTAGTCCTACCACTCCTGCCTCTCACAGTTACTGGTTTGGGCTATTTGTCCAATAGCTCTCTACCTGACTTAGAACTCCTTTTTCCCTCCCAATATTTGGCATCCATTCCTCCTTTTATCACATTCATATGAATCACTCTGTTGAGTGTTGCACAAATTTAATTCCCCCTATCAGTGGCTTCCAGTTATCAGCCATCAGACTCTGGTTCAATAAATCATTATCATTCTTTATAACAAATTCCCATGCACATTATTCACTTACATTTTATATATGAGAAAACGCAGTCTGATTCATTCATGAGAGGACATGAAAGAGTTCATGCCCTGAGAAGAACACACAAAGATGAGGTGATAAGGGAATAATGCTAGTCAACACAGCTAACCAGCAGACCTCCAAAGCTAATACAATAGGAGGAGAAGAAAGATTCTAATCTTGCCAACTAAAAGAACAGGAAATAGCAAGCCCTTCTCAACAATAACTTTAAAATGAAAAAAATTCTCAACTTTCTAACAAGTCACTAGCTAACTGATTGGATTTAAAAACAATATTCAATTTTCTGTTGTCTCCAGAAATGCACTTATCTAGCAAAGGCATCCAAAAATTGAGTGTAAAAGGATGAAAATCAACCTACCAATCAAACGGAGGCCATAATGAGGAAGCATAGCAATGATTATGCTTGCTAAAGAAGACATCCAAGCAAAACTAGTCCAGAGAGGGAGAGAGGCACCCTCCATATTAACTAAGGGAACATTCACTAAGTAAACACAGCAACTGTAAATATGTATGCACTGCATGTTGGTGTCTTATACAACACTAAAACATAGAAGATCACATAGGTCCCAGTACAATACTAGCAGGAGACTTCACTATTCTAATATTTATATAGATTTCATCATATGTCACAAAGTAATCTTCATTAAATTAAAATAAAACCATACTGGGAAAATTCTTGTATATATCAGACCACAATGGAATAAAAATATATATAAAAACAGCAGAGAAACCTCAGAAATGACTCAAACAGTCAGAGACTAAATAATATATTTTTGAATGAGTAGCGGGGCATTAACGAGTTCAAGGGGGAAATTTTTTTAAAGCAGACATAATAACGAAATTCAATAGTACACCCTACCAGGTCTTCTGGATTTTGATAAGGCAGTCCTAAAGAAAAGTTTATAGCTATGAGCACTGGTAGTAAAAAATAAGAGAAATCTCAAATAACCTAATGGTGTACCAGAAGACTCCTGAACAAGCCAAACCTAAACCCAGTATCTGATAAGAATAAAGATTAGAGCAAAAGTTAACAAAACAGGGACTAAAGGAATAATACACAGAATAAATAAAAGAATTGGTTCTGTGAAAATATGAACAAGGTTGACAAAAATCTCCATAAAGAAAACCCAGGACTGAAAAGATCACTGACGAATTCAGTCAAACTTTTCAGGAGGTTTTAACACCAATATTTCTCAAAATGCTCCAAGAAATACAAATGGAAGGCAAAGTCTCACACTCATTTTATGAGGCCTGTGTCACTCTAATGCTAGAATGGGACATGACATGATAAAAAGGGAACTTCAAACTAATTTTCTTGATGAATATATATGGAAGAATCTTAACAAAATCGAAGACCATATTAAGATCAAAGACTGTGACCAAGTGGATTGCGTGTTCAAATCATTAAGTATAATATATAGTATAATTAAAATTGAGGACAGAAGTCACATGATCATCTCAATAGATGGAGAAAAGACATTATACAAATTCACACCAAATCAGTCCTAGAGAAATTGGAAATAAGATCATACTCCAAATTAATAAAGACTGTATATAACAAAGCTATATCCAGTATTATACCAAATATGAACAATCTGAAAGCATCAATTCTAAAATAAGGGGGATGATAAGGGTAATTACTCCACTACTTTAAGACCAACTAGACAAGATAAAGACAAAAAAGATTAAAAATAGGAAAAGATGTTAAATTGTTCCCATTTACAACATAGTTATCTAACTAAAAGACCTATAAACTCCACCAGAATATCTTGAGATCTAATAAACACATTGCACAATGTTACAGGATCCAAAAACTAATAGACAGAAGCCATCATTTCCCACATATATTAATGACAAACCTTCTAAGGAAGAAATTTGGAGAAAACATTTCACTCACAACATCTCAAAAACCAAACCAAACCAAACCATAGGTAGTAATAAACAGAAGGAAGGAAATGAAAAGCTCTCTAATGAAAACAAACCAAACCAAACCATAGGTAGTAATAAACAGAAGGAAGGAAATGAAAAGTTTTCTAATGAAAACCCCCCCCCCCCCCAGGAACCCAAGGGAAAAGCATATGTGCTGATTTCATATGTTGATCCTGGTTCTTAATGTTTCTATTCATATTTACAGAGATAGGCTGTGAAATAAGAAAAGGGTCCTTGAGAGGGGGAAATGATATTGAGAAAGGGAGAGAGCAATTGAACAAACACGCTATGAAAATGGAAAGGAGGCCAATGAGGGTGGTAGTATATAAGGGGGCAGTCAGGTAAGGCAGAAGAGAGGGGGGGATGGTCAGTAAAGAGAAATCATGTTTGAAAATGCCATGATGGTATCTAACACTTTCTTTGCTAATTAAAGAATGAAAACAGATGAAGACCAAGAGCTTAAATTAGATATCAAAGGATACAATTAGTCAAATCACAATGCCCCTTTCTCCATTATGATGGGGCACCCCTTGCTGCTTTTATGTGTGATGTCAGATGGTTTTGCACGTAAAGGTGTAGTCTATTCAAAGCTGTAGACCAACCCAAAACTACTAGGTTTATATCAATTATAAACACCTAATGTGTACTTTGTTATAGTTTTAATTCTTAAATTAATACTTAACACTTACCACTTGGATGGTGCACAATGGTGAGTTTATCTACAAGACAAAAAATGTATTCTGTGAGGTTTGTTTATTATTTAACCCAAGAGGTCTTTTTGTTGTTTGATGACTTTGTGTCTCTGAGGTGACAGAAATTTACAACATGATTTGAAAATACTAATCCTCCCTCTGGATAATGTGTGAACCCAAGCCTCATTACTTCTGTCTTTTCTGACTTGCCCAGAGGCGTTATGGTCTGATGGCTGTTTGATGGCTACTGGAACCTGCTTCTGTGCAGTGATATTCCTCTAGTCTGAAACACTCCGTTCATTTAGAAATCCATGTTTTTTAGAATTAATGTATATTACACAGTTTAAGCATTTCTAAGAATACAAGCTGATGATTTTTAAAACAAATTCATAAATTACACAACTACCAGTTCGATAGGTTTCCTGGCCACTGAATATACACTAGAACCCTTGTTAGCCCTCAGCAGAACATTACTCTCCACAGCCTCTGCTGATTTATATACCTCTAGAGGTTAGGGTTGGTTGTCTTATTTTAGTCTAGAAAGTCAGCTGTGGTAGTTTGAATGAAATTGGCTCCCAATGACTCATATTCAGTGGCATTATTGGAGGTGTAGCCTGTGTTTGTCTTTGAGACAAGGCTTCTTTCAGAAGCTTAAGGCAGGCCCTAGTGGCTCATAATCTCTTCCTCCAGCCTGCAGATCCAGATGTCTGCCTCTCCTACACCATGTCAGCCTGCAGGATGTCATGAAAATGATGGGCTAAACCTCTGAAACAGTAAGCAAGCCCCAATTACATGCTTTCTTTTATAAGAGGTGCCATGGTCATGGTGTCTCTTCACATTAAGACAGCAGCTAAATTGAATCTTGCAGCATGCTCTGCACTGTGCCTGGTATCTTTCACTCAGCACCCTGGCTGGGATTCATTTATGCTGTGTATAGTAGAAGCATTCATTTTTACTGGATAGGTAGTGTCACAGCATAAATTCAGGCTTAGTTAGGGTTTCTATTGCAGTGATGAAACATCATGACCAAAAAGCAAGTTGGAGAGAAAAGGGTTTCTTTTGGCTTACACTTTCACATTGCTGTTCATGATCGAAGGACTTCAGGACAGAAAGAACTGAAACAGCAGGATCCTAGAAGCAGGAGCTGATGCAGAGGGCCCTGGAGCAGTGCTGCTTACTTCCCATGGCTTGCTCAGCCTTCTTTCTTGTAGAACCCAGGACCACCAGCCCAGGGATGGAATCACCCACAATGGGTTGGGCCCGCCCCCATTAATAATAATAGTTAAGAAAATGCCTTGCAGCTGGATCTTCTGGAGGCATTTCCTCAGTTAAGGGTTTCTCCTTTCAGATGCCTCTAGTTTGTGTGTCAAGTTGATGAAGACTAGCCAGAACACAGGCACAATGTAACTACACGTGTTGCTGGTTGACATTCTGATTGTTTCCAGCTATGTATGATGAATCAAACTTCCATAGACTTTATGGATAGATAGATGTTTTGGTAGATACAAGGTTTTACTTATATCAAAAAAATATCCTGGGTTGGATTCATCAGACTACACACTAAGCATGTATCTGACTTTTTCAGAGTCATTCCACACTGTGACCTTCCATCGGCAGTCATGTCCATCTGGTCCCACATCCTGTACGTAAAGTCATGTTCCTGACAGTTGTTCATTGGCATCTCATTGAAGCTGACTGTCTTTTTCTGAATATTAATGATGCCAAGCATCTTTTACACAATTGTTGCCTATTGGCCTTTGTAAATTAAGATCTGGGTGTTAGGTATGTTTGTAAGAGCGGGGCTGCCACTGTTTATAGTTCCTCTCAGCAGTCAGAATTGTACATAAATATATGATTGTGTGTGTGTTTATTTTTATACTTACCCATCTGAAATGTACAGGTTACCAGCATGATTTTTATCTTTTGCTTTGAAATCCAATGGTCCCTTATGAAATTCATTTCAGCCCCCTTTTAGCTGGGCTTCTACTCCTGTCTTTTACAACAGGAACATGTCCTTATCTCTAGTAAATTTATTTGTTAGACAAATCCTAGAATACCTGAAGCTTTGAAATTGTTATACTATAGCTATGTGGAGAAATGAAACTAAAAACTAGAGTAAAGCACATTTTATCTACCATTTTTAAAAAGAACTTTATGGAATTTATCAAAGTAACATGTTGGCAATTTTTTTTTTTTTTACTTCTTGAGTAAATATGACACAAAATGTAGCTTTAGAACAAGCTAACTTTACTATGATCCAGGCATGTGAACTAGTGTAGTTCAGTAGTCCATAAACACCTCTAACAAGCACACTAGGGCCAGAAACGTAAGTTAGAAAATACAGTCAATATGACAATTAGCACAGAGAATAGAAACCATTACTCTTAGATTCTGCAAACTTAAATTTTTGTTTTTTTACAACCATCCACATTTTGCATTTCTGTTCAGATGCTCAGGGCATAATATACACACCCAGAATATCCTAAAAAGTTGTGGTCACATTTTGGTTTTGTTTCAGTGGTACCCAGTCACACAAAATGTTCTGTCTGTTCTGTGATAAACATTGGGCTGAAACACAATAACTGCTGACTTAAAAATATCTCCATCAAAATGTGCAGACTTTATAAAAACAATCCTCGACATTAGAATTCTAATTAGGATTATTTTGAAAGCCTTTACAAAGAGTCCTTAGGAATTTGTAGAAATATAAGAAGTAAGGAGATTTCTGAGTGTTATATTTTTTTTGACATGAGTAAATAAACATGGGAATAAAGTGCAGCTCCTTCCTCTTTGCCCTTCAGTTCTGCTCCCCGTAGGAGAGCAGTCCTGTAGTAATGCCCAGACTCTCCACTGAAGGTTCAGTCAGCAGCAGTAGGGCGCATTTGTTCTGAAAGTCAATGATGGCCTTCCTCAATGTGCACAGCATCCCTCTCCTTAGTCTGAGGTCCGTCCAGTCATCACTTCTAGTAGAGCACACCCACTAGTGTGTAATCCTCAGCCAGAGTGTCCCTATCAGCTCCATTTTCTTTCAACCATCCAATACGTTCACAATCCTCCTTGGCTGTGCCAGGACAGTTCAGGTGGCATATGGGACAGGGATATTTATCCAGTTGGGACTTAAGTTCCAGGTGTTTAATGTCTTTGTCCTTTTCTTCCATGGCTTGATGAAGCCTGTAACTTGTTACGATAAATCTTTCTGCCAAAAGCCACCGAGCCCCACTGCCACGTGTGTGCTTTATGCCAGCCGCCTGGCCTAGTTAGGCCCAAATGAATACACTGAAACTTGTATTAGGTTCAAAGCTGCTTGGCCAATGACTAGGACTTCTCATCTGTTAGCTCAATCTTAATTATCATAAATCTATATATTTTTTAAGACTTATCTTATTGGACACCTTATTGGCGTCCCTCCTTGCCGGTGGATCACATCCCGTCGCTGGAGGAGGAAGGGGAAAAAGGGACCCTTCCTGTTTCTCTTTACTCAAATATGAGTCTCCTTGCTATGTCACTTCCGGCCTGGATCCCCACTTCTCTCCTACATTTCCCAGACTCCTATTTGACTCCTAGTCCTGTCTGAACTAACTCTTCAAATCATCTATTAGTTTCTATTTCCATCCTTCTGAGCTGCTCATTCAGGGACTGCGAGCAATCTGGAACTCTTGGAATACAGTGGAGCTGAGCATGCTTTCCCCATCCCCCCGGCCCAGGTAGCTGTAGCATCCTCAGTGATGGCCTGAGGTCTTTGGACAGTTTGATTTTGAAGATGATTCCCCATGTTCAAATCTTCTGGATTGGCTGTGTCACTCTCAGATGCTAGGCTAAGCTGTGGCCTCCACTGTAGAGCCAGAATGGTAATAGCTGTTTACACAGCCTTTCAGATGATGCTGTCCAAGGCAAACATCCAGCATGGCTCGATGTTATGATTCCACTTTACTCAGATTCCTAAGAATTTTATTGGCTGCATCCTGGGAACCAAAGAGGACCTCCTGCACCTGGCTGATGCCATGGCTGTCAAAGTTCAGCCCTAGCAGCAGTTTTGACAGGGTAGTGGCTATGATTTTTTTGGTCAGTGGACCTCACAAATTCCTTGAGGCTCTCCATGAGTGTTGTGATATGATCCCATTTTAGTTTAGGGTCGTCATCATGGTGGGGAGCATGGCCTACCATTGTTGTTTTATAATACAAACTTCAGAATACACTGTTTTTTTCCCATTTATATTCTTTTCTGACAATCCTAGGTAACCTAACTCAGTTAATTTAGCTGTTTATATTTTCTTTTCTTCTCAATTCTTATTCACTACATATATAAAATATTTCCAATTTCTTAAAAGTCACATTAAATGAATATACTCTTTTAACTTTTATGGTCATAAATTTCCCTCTAATTTACCTGTCAGCTTCATTTTGCCTCATACTACAAGTTTTGGTATCCTGTCCACAACAGCTTTCATTTCAAAATAGTTTCCTATGACTTCCTTTTTGATACAAGAATTATTTTTGAAACATTGTATTTGATTCTTAAATATTTTGGAATGAATCTGCAACTCTTAGGGAACATTCTCTTCTGGAATGTATTGAAACTTTTCAATGACTTAGCAAGTGCTCCGTTTTGATAGCCATCCCAGCACATCTTACACAAGTATATGAGCTCAGTGTTTTTAAGCCTTACTCAGTAAATTTCAAACTGGCTGAATTAGGTCTCTGTATCTTTATGGACTTCTGTCAAATTTTCAGTTAACTACTGAGGAAAATGTGAGGACATCTATGAGTATTGTCAAATTTTGCTTCATTGGCTGTGATAAAACTTATAAGCGTACAAGTAATATAAAAAACAGAAATATCTAGGCTGTTATGTCATCCTACTGAACCTTACCCCTAGCTAATGTATCCTTTTATCTCCTGCCATGGGTTGTGTCTTCAGATTATCTTGTTCTGTTTCAGCATGGCCATCACAGCCTTCTTGCGCTATGTCGTGGCATGGTCGTAGACATTCATTTTCTAGTTATCTTCCCTTTATTTAAAATATATGTTTTTTAGACTGCCTAAATTAAGGTATTCTTTTTTGTGCAGCATAAAAAAACATTATTTTAGAATTAAGTGTGTAATCAATTTACATTGAACACAATTATTGATTCTTACTCAATTTATTACCACTACTATTTTTTGTTTGCTTATCTATTTTGTGTATGCACCAATTTTGCAATTTTCATGATTTATTCTTCAGAATTAAATACTTTTAATACCCTAGTTAATTTCCTCTATTGATGTCCTAGGTTTACTTTTTTGTTATTTTATGTGTGTGTTTGCCTGCATGTGTAATAAATGCATGCAGTTCTTATACGGCCAGAAGAGGGAGACAGAACCCCTTGTCGAGATGGTTGTGAGCCACCATGAGGGTACTGGGAAGCCATGTGGGTGGCTTGCAAGTCTTTTGCAAGAGCAGCAAGTACTTCTTATTGTTGAGCCGTATCTCTAGTCCCTTACTTTTATTTAAGTTAATAAAATATGCAAGATCAATTTCTCAAACTAATTTGAGATAAATAGAACCCGTCTCCCTGTTTTCTGCCTTACACTTCTCTTCATACTTCCTATTTTACCCCCTTCCTCTTGTTTTTAATCGAGTCTTCTCATGATACATGTTGAACTTTATCATGTATATAATTTTACCCAATTCTAGTTAACTGCAACCTCTGTTCTTTGTGGTGTTCTTTTTCCATTACATGCTCTAGCCTATAACACACATAAATTTTGCTTTAAATAGTTGTGATTAAAATAATTTACCAAAACACAGAAAACACAATAGTCTATAGATACCTCATTTACATGATTTGAAGGGTTTTTATCCCCTCAATGTGGATATGAATTTATTTCTGTTACGATTTCTTTCTACCTATATGAAAGTCTTTAATGTTGGTTACCTTGCATTTTTCTACAAATCCTTTAGTTAATTTATCTAAAGGCCTCATTATTTCAGCAAAAGTTTCAAAGCTATTTTCGCTGTAAGTACTCTTTTCTTTTAATTGTAGCTCTTTGAAGATAGTGCCATAGAGTCTTTAACTCTTCATTGATTATGATGAGATATTAGTGAATACCCTTAAGATTTTCCTCCATGTCATTTATCTTTTTTTTTCTAATACTAGGCAAATTATATCAATCCATCTTCACATCCAGTAATATGTGATATGCTGATTATATCTATAAAAGGTTTTTTGTATTTTAGTGTTCCTTTCTATAATTTCCACATATTTCAATTAGTTTCAAATTTTCTCATATTTTACATTTATCCCCCTAAAGCTGTCATTTGCATGAATTCAATATGCTTATAAGAGACACTTTAATGTTTAATGCCATCTTTTACAAATGTCAACATGGGACTATCAGTTTCTTATTGATAGCTCTTTTGCTTCACTATGGTTTCCTGTTCATTTTCATGTAATTTTTAATCACTCTTTGGCTGGAATATTGAGCATTACATCTCTTGTGTACTGTGGGTTCTGTGTAGGGTCTTCTTTTGGTAGGCAGTTTGACTTCTGACATGAGCTTCTATAGTTTTGATAGTTGTTTTTCCGTATGTGCCAACAGAAACCCCAAAGTGTTCCATAAGGCTTGAGGTTCAAGCTATGTTTCTCCAATGGTTTTTAGAGTTGGGTTTTAGAACTTAACAGGCATATTGTGACTAGAGGTTACTCTGAGTTAGGGTTCTAATATAGCAAGTATTAGACGTTACAGGAAGTGTTAAGATGGGTCCACTCTGGCAGGTCAGGAGCAAAGACTGTCCAAGTAGGCCTTTGCCTAGCTCACTCAATCTCTGTCTGTCTTCTGTTTTGTTTGTTTGTTTGCTTGCTTCCAGTGCCCTTGGAGTTGCTAGCTTGTGCTCATTGCATACACTCACTCAGCTCATCTGTCAGTCACAGACATAAGTTCCTCCTGTGTGATTCTGAGCCCACTCTTGTTCAGTTCAGTGCACACCCCTCAGTGTCAGTTGCCTCAGTTATGCTGTTCACATTCTCAGTTCCAGGACTGACTTGCCTTGCTCTCTCACAGTCAGTAAATGCTCCTTTGGCAGACAGGTGGGCAGTGGTTTGATTCACTGCGTGAACCTTGCCTGCCTCTCAAAATAGAATCTTCACCTGCTTACTATCCACTTCTCAAGATACTTGCTTGTCTTTGATCACTAGTAGTATTTTATAAAATGGAATTGCACTCCAGTGCTGTTTGCTCCACTGTAACTGAAAAGAGAACTGATTCATTGCTCAAACACTGATGCTGATTTCTGAGTTCAAACAAAAATCTGTGAGTTTTTCCGGTTTCCTATTTCCTTATTTATATATTATGAATGAAATCTATCTACTATGACCACTGTAAGAAACAGTAATATTTAATATGTGCTCTTTAGATATGATAGATACTATTTACAAATTCTAAAAATAATCTTACTGAATTTATGTAATCTTATTAGTTTTTAAAATGGTAATTTTTTCACATAATAATGCAAGCATTTAGATCTCAGTTGTGTGTAAATTAATCTCTTCTTTATAATATTATTTTGCAAACTATATTTATAGGTTAGAACACATTATAGGAAGGAGAGTTTAAAGAATTCTCTCTGGGAAAGTATATATCAACACAATAACAGAAGGAGAATACATTTCACAAAGTGAATCTCCACATGATGTACAACATAAAAACTATGTAATATTTACATACAGTGGGTAGATAGGGGCTTTTCAAGTGCTTGTTCTCAGTGGTTGTTTCTAATTTTCTGTGCAAGAGGAGAGGTTTGGGAGAAGAGTGGCCATATAACTGTAATACAATTTATTTCCAATTCTGGAATGCATTATTCATCTTTGGAGAAGATTTGGCATCTTAATGGCATTTGTCTTTAACCCCAGTTGTTTCCCCAGGACAACTGTTAACTAACAGCAAGGGAAACTTGGACTGCCGGGAAACATGTGGTTATGATGAAAGGCCAACCTGAGACAGATAATTTAAAACAATCCACATGTGGACAGTTGTGAGACTTGGCAGTACTAGGAATGACCTACCCATTTGATGCCCCATATAAAGACCAATGAAAACACACTGGATTTGCAAGTTACATAGAAATCAAATGGAAGTAGGGAGCCTTGGTTGGTCAACCTGGGTCAGTAGAGCACTCTTGAGTGGATGTGTGAATAATCCCACTTTGCTGAGAATGAATGAGAGGGATTGAGTCTCCAGCCAGAGAGTGGGAAGAGGGGAAATGTGTGGAGTTGAGCTGAAGTCTGTTTGGATCCGTAGTTACTGCATTTTCTACCCAGTCACACTGTCATTTTCGAGTAGAAGGCAACTTTTACTCACCATATGCATTTTCATCTTCTGGCCTTTTCCCAACAATGCTGTCTCGTAGTTGGCGTAGCTTTTCCTTAATGAAAGCACAGAACACAGATACTAAGATTTAAAATCTTTAATGGGTGCAATATGAAAGCATTTATTTCTATAACTAGTGCCCAAACCACTATTTAGTAATAAGTTGCTACTTAAGATGTCTAAAACATCTCTGGTACTTTTACATAATCTTATTATTCATGAAGGAGATGTAAAATGGTAGCATTCTGTTTCACAGAGATGATGGAAACTGAGGCACAGGGAGGCTAAGCAATTCATCTAATCATGATTGGAAGCTGAGCTTAGGTGCCTACACCTGTGTGCCTCCATTGAGTGAAGAGCTACACCAGGACACTGTAGCTGGATGCCTCTTGAGCCCACCTACAGCCACGTTGTGGTATATTCTTTCCTGGTACTTTATTAATAACAAAATGAAGGTCCCAGGAGAAAATACTATGAAACTAGATTCTCTTTCTCAGAATATGTGTGATCTTTGTTTTCCATATATTCTGCTCAGCACAACTATTTTCATTTTAGTAGAAACAAAAAGCATACTAGCACTCCATAAATTTCTTGAGAAGAAAACTTAAGCATTTTTAATTTCTTTTTTTTTTTTTTTTTGGTCTTCAGGAAGGCTTCTTTCCTGGGGGTTATTTACATGGCTTTGCAGAACTTCCCCTCTGAGTAGCATTGGGTGCCTTTGGCTTTCCAATGATCGGGGTGAAAGACAAGGCCTTCACTTTGTTACCACCTCATCTTCAGGGCTGGGCATCTACATAACTGCAACTCTTCCCTGCTCTTCAAACTCTGGATGCATTCATGAAAATGAGCCATTTTTCCCAGAACAGTCTCCACCAGCCATACCAGATCACAATAATCACTGTTAAATTCATTTCCAGGATACAAATGCATACGTTTGTAGAAGGAAGGGGCATATAGAAAAGGATATAAATATGGGGGAGTGTGTGCACATGTGTGCTTGTCTCAAATACTTCCTCATGGATATAAACATACAAACAAAACAGAAACAACTAAGCCTTTCAAGAAATGATTAGGGAAGTAATTTCTAAGAGGCTGGATTACATGAAACTGAATTGAAATCTTTGTTTTTTAAGGGATTGAGAAAGACATAGTATATGTAGTTCCTGGGGACAAAATGAGTTGCATGGGCTTGTAATTGAACACATTTTACTAGATTGAGGATTTAGAGTGGCTGTGAGTTGATATTATTGGTAAGAATGGAGAAACAATGTTGTTACTCTGTTCCTGAGCAACGCACAGGTGCAGAATTGCTCCTTCCACTTTCCTTAGCTTTTGTTTGGAAAAATAATTGCCTTTGATTAGTATTGTGAAACCTGGACCATTTTCATCCACTGACTGGCAACCAAATATACCCTTCTATGTAGGTGGTTTCTGACAAGCTATGATCTCAAATGTGTTTGGAAAGTCTTCTCGCCTACACTGCTTTGGCCAATATGCCATATTGTTCGAAATTTCATCATAGTGACTCATTTTTCTATTGTTAAAAACTACATTGTCTTTTAAAATAAAAATGATCTCTTGGTAGAGGTAGAATATTCATCTAATATTAGCTCCCTGTATTTTGTCCTAGCTAGGCTTATTCAATGTGCTTAATCAAGCAGCTACATGAAAACTGGGTTCTGAGGCAAGAAGGTTTCCTGCCATGGAAATAGAACATTAAGATATTTTGGGAATGGGAAAAACCTAAGAGATAAGTAGTCTATGGAGCAGATATCTCTTAATGAGAACAGCCAAGGTGTCATAGGTGACATATTTTATAAGGAAAAAGATGTTAAAATTAACCACACTTAAGACTAAATCCTTGATGTGACATCAGTTATTTTTTTGTCCATTTAAGTCTGGTCTGTTAGTTTTTAACATGCTGAGAATCTGTTACCGTGAAGATGCTTTATCTAAATTTCATCAATGAGATAAAACAAATGTTCTCTGCACCCAAGACAGGGTTAGTAAGCAGCTTTGATGTATGGGGTCCAAGACTGAGTTCTCATAAATTAACTTAGCAGTGAAAATTTAGATATTATTTTCAAGCATTTAGTTGATTATTGCAAACATCTTTTTAGTGGCTAGTTAAAAACAAAAGAACAGTTGTCTATATGTTTTGTGAGTACTAAACATTTAAAGAGTGCAGGGAGATGGATAAGTGAAGGAATGTTCCAGAAGATCGTGTTACCTGTTGAATCATTTCCAGACCACTCTTTCCCATCTGCCAACGTTTAAATTTCTCTAGAGCTTCATCCATAGACATTATCCCATTCTTGACTTTCTCCTGCAGGAGGATCAGTTCTTCCTGTCCAAGGATCAATTCTTTCTGCCCAGTGGTTACATAACCTTTTGCACTAGAGAAGGTTGGACCCTCTATCCGAGCTTTGTCTGTATAAGAAGAGGGTGTTTTAATAGGAAATTAATGATTGAAAAACTCAGACAAAATCATTCTACATAACAACTCAGTGGATTTTCTTGCACTTAAACATTTCACAGTTGAAGAATAAGCTAGCACAAATGTTTTGTTTCACTCTTTAAGTTGTCATTATATAACCCAAGATGACCACATACTTCAGATCCTCCTGCCTTAGCCTCCAAAGTACTGATATCCTAGGTCTGTGATACTACATCTAGACAACAGCAAAATCTTTTAACATAATGTATTTCCTTTTAAGGATGGTGGTACCTAGCACCTACCTTGTAGGTAGAAATAATCACTTTATCACTGTAAAACATAAGGGCCAAGTAAAAGTGATGTGCTATCTGTAGGAAGTGCCATCTCCCCATTTTTCTTGGGAAGTTAAATGAGATCGTGTGGATGGGGAGTTGATAGCGCCTAAATAGAGGAGTATAGGGTCTACTTCCTCTTCTCAAAGGGAACAAGAGTCAAAGAATGGTAGCTGTCCTTTGAGGTAAGTGACTGTCAGAGAGCTACGAAATTCATCCAGGCAGAACCTGGAAGCTTTGGAAACCAGAGATTACAGAATGGAATAAGAGCAGGAGACAGGACATACAACCCTCACTGCCTAGTGGGGAAGGGAGACACTCTTCAGAGGAAAGCCAGGCTGGAAGAGTCTCAGCAAAGCTGAGTCTCAGCTCCTGGAATGTTTCACTGTTGTCATCAGCAAGAAGGTCATTTAGGGAAGCAATGTAGGGCTTGCATAGTGGTTTATCATTGGAGGAAGAACTACTACATCCCCAGTGACCCCCGGAGCCCATGCTGCTCTGGTATGATGTCATCATGTGAAGGCAGCTGTTGTCTGAATTACACTGAACTCTAGAGGTCAAAGGCCTGTGCATGTTCTAATATCTGGCACCTCACAGATACACTACCATACTAGCAAAGGGTCTGTTGCCATAGGTCCAACCTGACCTAGCAGGATACAGATGACTCTAGACCAAAAGTTCTTGGACTTTAGGAGACAAATTATATGACAATAGCTTCAAAGTGTGTATGTGTGTGGAGGAGGCCAAGGAACAAATAAATAAATAAATAAATAGATAGATAAAAGACCCATGCAAATGAAAATTGCAAAATTTCCAATATAAATTGCAGATAAAACATTACAGCAGGAAGAGCCTACACTTGTTCATGGATTGGAAGAAAGAATGCTGTAAAATATCCACACACATCAGAACAGACTTGAGGTTCAATAGAGTCATCATCAAAATATGAGGACATTTATTTTTTACAAAACTAGAAGAAAATACTAAAATTCATATGAAAGAAGACTGCAAAGCACAAAAGGAACTGGAAGTTGCCATGTTAAATAAACTAGGACACAGCATGGAAAAAACCAGCATGTCCCCTCCCATCTGAGACTGCTACAAAAGTCAGTTGAAAGATATAATTCACACTACAACCTGCTGGGCTGTAGAAGAGAGGAGGGGCATGTGGAGGTTGACGAATGAGTACATAACTAGAGAAAGTAACAAATCCTTGTGTTCTTCAGAACAGTCAGGGGGTGGATATAGCATCCAATAACCTATTATGTTCTTTATGAGCCACTGAAAGAGAGGAAGCCAAAGCTTCCACACACAAAGCAATAATAATGAAACAGAAACATTAACTCCCCTGATTTTATCAGTACATAGTGTATATACACAGTGAGCTATCATACTGTTCCAAAATGACTAGGGAGAAATAACTGTTAGCTTTCTTGATCATCACACAGTATATACACGCATCAGTTCTCATACCGTCTCCCAACAAATTTGTGAAAGTAACAAAACAGTAAATTATAATAAAGATATTATGTGGACAAATGATTTAGTCTAAAGCCTGCCATCTAGTATTAATGTCATTAATATTAAACACATGTTGAAGAAACACTATCTCTAATTTTGAGAAAAGAGATCTCAGTAAAAAATCTAAATATCACAAAGGACTTAGGGTCTTTTGAAACTTTATCCTTGGAAGATGGAAGTAAATATGTACTCTCTTTGTAATGAAACGCTTTCTTTTCCAAAAGAAAATTATTTTGAGATTACCATGTGTTCTTTTTGTAGCACAGATTAGAAGACTCCATGTCCTGGGTGGATGCCCATGGAACACTGGATGCTGACATGAGACATGGAGGCTGGAGAGGGGAGCCTACTGGCAGGACACAGGAAATTCATTTATCCACACGTCCTTGGGGATGTATGGGCCTTTCAGACCACCTTATTCCTGTTACCAAGTGACATCACATTAGTGCCACCTGCCTGACCTTGGGACTCATCTGCGATCTCAACGTCTTGTTTATGTATTTCCATCAAGTCCAGCATACTCACTGCAATGCCTCAGGAGAAGCACTTTCTTAACAGGCTGTCACTTCTGAATATGCCCAGTGTAGAAGGACAGACAACCATCTTGTTCAGCTAGTGTTTTATTACCTAGGCCTGGGGGGAAAACCCACTCATCTCTGGGAATCCTTTTTCATAATAAGGAAGCAACGGGGACCATCATTCAGTCATGGTATCAAAGGTTTGGGAGATGGAGTGGTGCTCCTGTCTAGCAGTGGTCACTGTGGGGTTGAGTTGAATATGATTTCTCTGGCAGAAAGACATTTTAAGCTTTAGGCAGTACTTTGAATTCCCCAAAAGGTGCCCCAGCCTAGACTGTGTGGACTGACTTCAAATGTCCATTTCAGGTTTGAGAGAGCCTCTCATAGTGAGTCCAGGACTAGGAACACTGGAGGAGTCTGCGGGGTGGTTTTCTTGTGTTAAATCCTCTCCATGGCCAGTCATTCTGCTTTCCTGGAGGGACTTCCTTCACTTCTCAGAAGTTTATTCCCCCAGAACTAACAAGATGTCAACAGATTCTACACTCTAAATCTTCCTGCAGGGATGACAGAACACAGAATCCCAGGAGAGATGGAGAATGCAAGCCAGCCAGAGGGCTAACTGGTTGAGCAGCAAGAAGCACAAAGAGCTGCTGAGATCTTGCTTTTTTCTACCACTTGCTATTTATAGGCTTCCACACAAATTCAGCTCCCGAGATGCAGGTTCCTGTAGCATCTCTGTGCCATCCTGCCAGAGCAGGCGGGCAGCATCATTATTAAACGTTGTACCATTTAGGCATCCTCACTTCTGCCACCCCTTTGCCTGAGCCAGATCCATTTTTATCTCAAGTAACCTATGCAGCTACATTTTCTGTGTTCAACGAAGGTATCTCTGGTAAACTCTTGTCAGCAAAGTGCCAATTGCAATTTTGCTCCACATACAGGCTTCACTGAATTAAAATACTGCACTTGAGGTGTTGAGATGGTTTATGAGGTAAAGGTACTTACCACCAAGTCTAGAGACACGAATCTGATCCTTGAGACCCATGTAAGGCAGAAAGACAGAAGGGACTCCACAAAGTTGTTCTCTGACCACACACATGCTGTGCCACCCCCAACACATAAAAATTAATAAAGAACTGAATCCTTTCAATAATATTCATTTCAATCGCCCCATCTAATTTCAAATTCCTAACTTTTAAATTGTAAATAAGATGATACAGGGCAGAAGGAAGTATGTTCTGGTCCTTCATAATTCCATATAAACATCAGAAAGACCCCTCCTCCACCGCCAAGTCTCAATTTCAACTCCTAAAAGTGAGTTGCTTGTGGACAAGCTAATTTTCCACAAACCTATTTTTCCTTCTCATATGAAATATAATAAAACACCTGCCTTGATCAATTATTATTAGGCATGACAAACTCCAAAGAAAAATGATCTGGAAGCTTTGCTACCTTCTCATTAAGGCAGGCTCATTATTCTAAGTGTGTGATCTGTAAATTTTAGCAATGTTGATAAGTTCCTTTATCTCATCAAAGTTACCGTTTAATGGAGGTCATAATGGCAGGTATTTCTTCCATCAACATTTTATATTTCTGTTTACTATTAGAAGATTTGTATGATCTTTACATCATTTTCATCAAAAAGCCTTTGTCATACTGCTGGCTGCATGTTTTAAACCCTTGATCACTTACTGTAAAAACCTCAAGACAGACTAATGGTATAGTTACTTTTTTTTTGTTTTTTGAGATAAGGTTTCTCTCTGTAACTTGCTGTGTAGACCAGGCTGGCCTTGAACTCTCAGAGATCCACCTGCTTCTGCCTCTGCCTCCCAAGTTCACCACCACCACATGGCTAGTTTAATTCCTTTTAATTTCTCTTTTTTAGTATCTTTTCATTTGATTTGAATACTGTTCACAGAAGCAATAAGCAACCTATTATATGAATATTTGCATATGTAGAACAAGTCAGAAAGTATTGCACTGAATTCTTGTTAGTGAGCTATTGGCAAGAATGTTTTTACTGTAACTTTGGAAAGAATGAATTTAAAGAGGCCTTGCTAGTATAAGACTAATATGAAATATTTATTTGATAAGTATCATGTAGTTACAAAGAACATACTAAAAATGGTGACAGCCCTACTCAAGGGCTTATTCTATAGTGACACATACATGATTTAAAAATATACACAGAAGAGACGTTAAGTATTAAAGGAAAAATTAATACATATTCAAAGATGATTATTGCAAAGAGTATTTTCTTTCAATCTACAACTTTCTGTAATGATACTATGTTGATTTTATAGTAAGAAAAATACTTTCCCAGCAGGCTTCCCCCATGAAGCATGTACTATTCTGGTCCTTGAAGGGTCTGCATTGCAGTAAGAATTACCCACATTTTAAAGACCATTCTGGTCTATTTTTATCTCTCCTGGTTCATTTTCCTCATCCCCTTTCCCGTTTGTCTTTCCTCCATCTTTCTCTTTTCCGTGCCCTTCATTTCTTGTGTGTGTGTGTGTGTGTGTGTGTGTGTGTGTGTGTGTCCGTGTGTCCACAGGTGCATGTATGTGTGGAGGCCTGAGGTCAATGAGAGGTCTCTTCCTCAATTGCTTCTCCACCTTAATT